TTCTTGTCCACAAGGAGCAGGGCCGCTACAGAAAGAGTAAGACTGAGACCCAAGGGACGAAGGATGGGTAGCGGGGCCCCCACACGTGGGCTCCGGTCAGAGGATGAAATGTGTTCCAGGCTCCCAGAGGGAAGGACAGCTACTTGCTGCCGTGCACCGCGCTCACTTCCCTCACCCGGGATCGCCTTCGCTACCAAGGACAAAAAACCCAACTGTGGTATTTCAGCCTTGGTTTTCTCACCTCTCAGGGGGACAACGAGCCCAGAGGTTATCTGGATGTGGTTCAAGCACGCCACCTAGGATCTAGTTCCCGCTCCACCATCCTCACAGTCACAAGATGGCTGCTCTGTCTCAGACATCACGTCTGTCTTCCAGGCAGGAGGAAGAGGTAAGGGAAAAAGGCAGAGGGCATGACCAGCTGAACAGGTTCCTCTCTACCAGGAGGAAAGAAGGAAAAAAGAAAAACCCTTCCCCAGAAGCCTCATCGAACAGAGTAACCTAACCAGATCATCCTAGCCGTAGCAGGGCCGTATTGCCACCGCGGTGTAACAGAGTCCAGCTGTCGTGTGAGCATCGTAGACAGGACTCTGTGCACGCCGAACGGGTCAGTACAGAGCAGGAGTCTGAGGAAGACGGTGAGAGTGGACGCGGGACAGGCAGCCATGCGGGAGTTTCTCATGAGCACCACCAGCTGGGTGTCCCAGCGGCTCCCGCTCCCCGGCAGGTGAACCGAGGGGGCCCAGATGCGTTACAGTGTCCGCGTTCTCAGGCTCACTCACGACTTCATGTGAGACTGTCACTGCACAGCCACCACCACACGGGTCAGGCCCGAAGCCAGGTGTGGCTCACCAGCAGACTAGCTGATACTCTCGTCCCACGGCTTGTGACGCTTCTTCCCCAGTAAGAGCGACTGGTCGCACGGGGGTGGGTCAAGCCCAACTGCCTGGAGAAGAGGCTAGTGTCCCTACACTTGTCAAGATAAGACAGTGGTACCTCTGGCCCTGCCCATGACGCCGTGCACAATTCTTAGGTGCTGATGCCAAACACCCGCATGTGGGCTCTTCCCCCATCCTCCCCCTCCCATCCCTCCCTGTTCCATCTCTCCCCTCCCATCCCTTCCTCTCCCATCCCTCCCTCCCTCTCCCATCCCTCCCTCTCCCCATTCCTCTCTCTCTGGGCCTTAGTATGCAAATGAGTCATTCATTCCAGGGTGCATTTAGGGAAGGTGCTGGAAGCCACAGCCTTAAAGGGCAGACACCCATGCTTATCTCCTCGGTATCCATGCGTCCCTCCTTCCTTCCTAAAACAGAATCTTACTTGCTCCAAGGAGATGGATCTACCAGGTGGTGGATCATAATAGCTCTAACCCAAATACGACAACGCAATTCTCCGCTTCCCAGCAATTCTCTGCATCCCAGCCTCCCCACCCCTTTCAGCTGTGAGCGGCATGTGACCTAGTTCTAGCCAAGGAGATCAGCAAGCATCTTGAGAAAGTGCTTGATCTCATGCAGGGAAGGATGCAAATGGTGCCCCTCCTCCCTCCTTTTTCCTTCTCCAAACTCAAATGCAATGGCCGGAGCCACAGCAGCCAGTTTACAACTAGGAGGTAATAAACGGAGCTGACAAGCCACAGATGGCAGAATAAAGATCAGGTAGTGATAATGGCACTTACAAGCTGCTCCAGACCCTGGCCATCTCTCTTCACCATCACATGAGAAAAATTAAGCCCCTTTCATTTAAGGTTCTGGTAATGGGGTTTTATCCTGTTGGCTGAGTACACTCTGAGATGATCTAAAACAGCACAGCAGAGTGCCGGAGCTGCTGCCCTCGTGAACCGTCCTGTTTCAGCAAGAAAGATGCTGGCCCAGAGAGCAGAAGTTCTCGGAGGAGGAAGCAGAGTGTGGCTGGGCTGCACAGGATGGCCCTGAGCTAAGACAGAGTGGGAGCACAAAGGCTTCCCGAGGCAGTCCTCAGAAGCAGCGCTCTCCTCTTCTCGCTCCCCTCTTCTCTGTATTGTGAGGTTAGCATCCAGACTCCACTCCCTCCTCCCCTCTGCAGACAGGGCTACTCACACGCCGCTGCTTCCTGTCCAGGACCCAGGGGGGATAAGACCCACGAGTCCTGGGCTTCCACTATACAGCCTATCACTCTCCCATTTCGCCACGAAGCTGGTCTGGGTTTTCCAGGACTCTGCTTGCCACGAGAGAGCAATGCAGGTCACTGCCTCAGCGGCAGGTGGGTTGTTAATTATTAACAAAGCCGAGAAAAAGACACCAGCTCAGCAAATGCCCCACACTGAACTACGGCGCACGGAACGTCCCATTTTGGCCGAAGGAGAACGGCTTAACCATCCTCCTTTAGAAATTACCACACACCGGTGATCACGGCCGTAAGTGAACGATCCCGAAACCACACGACCGCTCACAGTACGGGGCTACGCTTGCGAGCTGGCCAGAGGAAGCAGGCACAGGAAATCCAGCTTGGAGGGGATCCGGGAACACTACAAATCAGCCCAGCGGATGCCCCACACGACTGTACTTAGAGGCTCTGCTGCTGACAAGGTTCACAATACCGTAGTGCTTGCTACCCTATTGGGGGAAACTATTTTAAGCCTAATTAGCATGAAATTTTTAGAATGCAAATGCTTTTCATTTAGACATAAAACAAAATGCCACGACATTTCTTCCATCCATTTATGATAAATAAGTTAATTACTGTGTAACAAATCGCTCCTTCTGGAATCTGGATGTTCGGGGCTGCTGGTAAGCTGACTCAGGCAAAGAGAAGGAGCCACCAAGCAGCCGTTAATGGCTTTCAGGACACTTACAATAAAACGGTGACTCTGGGAAGCTTCGCTTGTCAAATTAAGGTTAAGCTCTCTCTGTTGGAATAACTCAATTATAAGCAGTCATTATCTATTTAACTTGATTCCTACCAGAATAACAGAGGTATCATGGCTTTATTTTATTTTGGATGCACACATCTTCCCTGTGGTCTTGTGGTTTGCAGAGAGCGTACATAAAAAGAAATTTTTATCTGCCCTGATTTGAGTGTGTGTCTGCGTCAGCTTTTGCCTCCATATGTGTAAAATTATTTCTAAGATATAAAACATCTTGGTCCCTGAGAATAGTGGGGGGAAGGGGATACACACAGGTGCAGGAGAAGCAACGGGGCTCTAGCCTGTCCCACAGGAGGGTGAGAGCAGGTCCCGATGCCTGGGAGACACCTGCACCTCCCCTCTCCACCTGGGTGGGGCTGGGCCTCAACTCAGGGATAAGTACGTGCCCCCATATGGGTCGTGCACCCCCAAGGGCTGAAGGCTGGTCCAGGTTCACCTTCTCCATTCCACACTGGGTGAAGCCTGTCCAGGCTAGGGGGGCCGGCCAAGGTCCAGCCAGTGGCCAAGATTTCCCCACGGCACCGGCCAAGCGCAGAAGCCAGTTCAGCCTGGAACCACAAAGCAGCCAGGACGGAGACCATATGCCTGTTAGAAATCCCACGTTTCATCATAAAAGGTATGAGAATCTGCCATTCGCTGCCACAGTACGTAGCACTTGGCTTTACTAAGAGGCACTTTTCCTTACGTTCCTGAATAAAACTGATACCCACGATCTTATCAAGAGCGGCTCCATCCCCAGAGAGGCCCAGGATGCCAGCTTCTGGACAAGGAAACGGCGGTGCCACGTGTCCCTTGCCACGTGTGACGCTACAACACACTGAGTGTGAGAGCATCTTCCGGGCCTTCCCCGAGTGCACACACTGGGACGCTCAGTAGGCTGATACACCCTGAAAGGTGGCCCACCCTCCCTAAAATTCCCAGAGCAGCGCCTAAAAACTCTTACTAATATAAGCCTCCTTGCGCAACACACCCATTCTGCTTCTGGTCAATGGCTGGGAATTTCATTTTAATTTTTATTTTGGGGGGGAACCAACGGAAGAGTCAACAGTATCATACCCTTAGCAGTCAACGCAGACAGCACCGAGCACATAAGAAGAGCTGCACTTGGTCCCGGTGACCGTCCCGATTCATACAACCAGGCACAAACGAGGGAAGCCCACGAGCTCCACCTCCAAGGAAGAGAACCTGGAAATTCGCCTCCCGCTGTGTGCGTGTTCCCACCCCCTCCCCACCCAGAGGAGCCGCTGTCGGCTCTTAAGGGAAAATCCCAGATTCCCTAAAACACAAAACCGGGGAGAAAGTCAGCTGCGTGAGGATTATTTAGTCGTGAGAGCCAAAATTTAGCTCTCAAGCTTTATCCAAAGTTCGCTCCCTCCATCCCTCTGAAATCAGCTAAAAGCTGCTACTTCTGGGAAGGCGCACAGCCGCGGTGTTCGTGGTAGGATTTGGAATCCTCAGAAGGAAGAACGGATTTATTTCCCCTCCCATGCAAATGGAAAGTTTAATTAGTTTGTCTCGAAAGGGAAACAGATCAACATGCAAAATGATCTACTGTCACTTGACTTCTGAAGCTGCCTCTGACGTTCCCGTCACAAGTGTGGATTTAATCCTACAATTACGAGAAAGCTAATTGGTAGTTCCCTCCTGCATGTGTGTTTTCGTGTTGTCAGTGGGGCAGTAATGAAAATGAATGCCACATTTGTGAACAGAACGTCTGTGGGCTTATTTACCGCATCTCCAACAACATCGTCTGCTTTATCATGCATTTCAAAGCAGGGATAATTTAAGAATCTAGAATTTCATACATAAAAATACTTAGCAAGAAAGTCTCTCCCTGCACATTATTTGGGTGACGTTACATCCGAATTCCAGTTTGTTGCCCAGGAAATGATTCACCTCAAAAATGACAGGCATTCTGAATCATTCACCTGCGATGTAAAATGCCTTTGAGGTCCCCAGACTCCCCATCTCACTGACCTCGGAGCCATCATCCTGCAAAGAGCCCGGCTCAAAGGCAGCCCCACCTTGCCTGTTCGTGGAAAGGTCTCCCCCGTCCAGAGCACCACACGCAATTTCTTCTCACCCCCCGCAAGCCCCCTACCTTTGAGTAGCCGCTCTCCTTCCAGAATGTTCTCCGAGATTAATGCCGTGTAGTCTTCTTCAGAGAATCCAGCCTTGCAGGTCTCCCTGGCTGTAAGATCCCCATTATGGGCCTGAGAACGGAAAGAAAAGAGGTTGGAACAAATGTGAAGTGGACAGAAATTCAATCCAAAGCCTACGTGTACCAGGGCTTGCTGCAGGCTGGGTCTGGCCTCTGGCGAGGCAGGAACGCAGAAGCCGCGGTCTCCTCCCAAACCCAGCGCTCTTGCGCTTCCATGCTCTCAAACCTCACCTGGGCCAGCGGCCCCCCAGACCCCTTAGACCCCGGAAGACAAGGCAGAGCCACACCAGCAGGCACCGAGCGCTCCCTGCTGCACGCCGGCACCCGCGGTCAGGTGTCAGTGATGAACCGGGCACAGCGAGGGAGTGTCAGGAACCGCGGACGCCACAGGACAGCTGTCACCACGTGCGGTGACCAGAGTTGTGCAAATGTGGTCTCTGGCTCTGGAAACGCCTTCTTGTCCTGTGCTCACACCCAGGTGTGGGCAGGATGAACTGACCCGAGTGATGGGGCGGGGACGAGCGGGAGGCAGCACCTCACTTCCGACCCCTCTGACCCTGCGTCGGGGGAGGAGCCTCTGCTTCCCGCGCGGGGCACGCGGGAGCCCAGCTTGGATGAGGGGGCCCTGCAGGCTTGGCCTGGCGTCGCGGTGCTGGGTGCGGAGGAGGGCCGGCTGACGGCAGGAGGGCTGCCTGGGAGGACCTCTCCTGCCCCACAGAGGGCAGCATGTGAGGAGCACAAGAAGCCGCAGAGAGCAGGGAGCGCCGGCCAGCGGCAGCCTGAGGACCACGCTGGGCTCTGGGTGCTGAGGGCCTGCAGGCTCACGTCTTCTCCGTGGGTCACCAGGACAGGAGGAGGCGGCAGAGCAAGAAAGGAGGTCCTCCCAGGGGCGGCTCAGCTCTGGGCAAGGAGGGAGGCTTCCCAAAGACGGGGCTCCACACTCCAGGCCTCCCACCTCCGCTCTGCTGAACACTAGTCCGCCCTCGGAGCCCCCATCTCTAGCGCAACCAGGCGAGACAGCGCCTCTGACCCGAAAGGGTGGGTGTCCGCCTGTCCTGGAGCGCCCCAGGACCCTGCCCAGCGGAAGGCGCCGGAGGCAGCAAGGCGCACCAGCCAGGCTTCGGGGAGTGGCGGCTCCAGGCCGGCCAGGCGGGGTGGGGAGTCGTCGAAGAGACCGCGCGGCACGGCAGGGACGCTGGGCGGAGACGACGGAGCGCCGCGGCCCCCTTCCCCCGCCAGCGCACACGGGCACCAGGGGCGCAGCCCGCAGTCCTGCCTCTGCGGGGCCGCCGCCCTCACGGCCTCGACTCCAACTCGCCGCAGGCCGGGGCGCGGGCGCCCTCCCCCAAAAGCTCCATGGGGAGGGCGAGGGGTGCGGGTTCCTTCCTCGGGAAAGCTCCAAACCGCGGGTCCACTCCTCGGGAACGGAGCTGCACGGAGAGCCGGAGCCCCGCAGGCGAACTCGCCCGGGAAAGTTTCGCCCGCTCCGGGCGAGTGGCGAGCGCAGCCGGAGCGCCCCGCAGCCTCGGAGCGGGCCCGGGGGCGCCGCACTTGTTCCTCTCGAGGTTACAGCTGCGCCGCCGGAGGAGCAGCGAGGCCGATCGGCCACGAGAGGGGGTTCCTGCAACTCCCGCGGCCCCGCCGCCTCTCCGCGGGCGCCACCCGGCGCAGCCCCGCACGCCGCCCCCGGGGCCTGCACCCGCCGCGCACAGCGGGTCTGGGGGCCGGGCTCGCGGGCTCGGCGGGAAGGGGGCGGTCGCCCGGACCGCGGTCCCGGGCTCCCTCAGCCTGCGCCCGCCCGGCGCCTGGCTCCCCGGCCCCGCTCCCGGCGGCGAGGGCCCCGCCGGACACGGGCTCGGGCCGCACGTCGCGGACTCGGCGGCGAGGGTGCCCCGCGGTCCACAGCCTCCGCCCGGCCTCCGCCAAGGTCCCTGTCGGCACCCGGAGGACGAGCGCGGAGGCGGCGCCGCTCCGCGAGATCCCGGACCCGGGCAGCGCGGCCAGACCGGGTGTCCCCAGCGCCGCTGGTTCCCTGCCTGCTGTCGCCAGCTCCCCCGCCCGCAGTCCTGGCCCGGGCTGGGTCTCGCGAACTCCGGAGGCTCACGCTCCCGGGCGGTGGAGGGCGCGCCGGCTCCGCCAGCGGGCAGCCTGCCCAGGCGCGGGAGAGCCCAGCTCCGAGCCGCGGCCGCGGACCCAG